AAAAAGTACAACATACTTGTAGACATGTTCAAATTTTGCCTCCTTGAAGCGCGCAACGACTACGCGAACGCTGCGCATACAAAAGTAATTCAAGTTTTAATCAACACGGCCGCGTAATTAACAGTCTACTGTGTAAGGTCATTGAATATGAGTCTCATTCTCTTTTTTAGACTTTGAAAATCCAATTCAGCCAGTGATTATGATACTACACCCGGTATATATGATTTTGTAAAACGTTCTGTTGACTACTGTTTGGACCAATGAGATTGCAGCTATATTTAGATCATATAATAAAATACATTAAGAAATATCCTAATGTCAAAGAAAGGATATATATACTAGAAAAATAATATGTTAACAAAACAAATATTAGCTGTTTACAATGTATTTCATCCTTTTTTAGTTTCTTAAATTAAAAAGAATGAAATACATTGTAAACGGATTATATTTGTTTTGTTATCATATTATCTTTTTATGTTAATGTAGAGCTGCATTTATGCAAAATTGCATATTATAGATAAATATTCTTGAAGTATATGCATCAAGGTACAAATGTATGTTATTCAATTAATTAAACTTAATTGTTTTCTTATTTAAAAATATTTTTACCACTTGTTGTTAAGTTTCAATACTAATTTTAGATGTTTTTGAACGAATGTTTAAATACTTTAATGCACATTGATTTGGACATGTGTTCACATTAATAGAAATTAATCTATAATTTTTTTATATTACATGGTTTATAAGCATATGTATATATTTTATTAGATCTAGGAAAGTTTAAACATTATCTAACTAACATTTTAGTTTGCCTTGTGAGCTTACACAGAAAATGTTAAAGTAATTTACTATGGTTTCTGAAACCATATCTATAACGTTGAGTGTCAGCAGATGTCATTTTGCTGTTCTTTAAAGGTTTCATCTGTCTGTACATAGTTTAATTAATTATCTTTATAGAAGTACAATATAATATGTGAAAAACAAGTTAAATGTTGTTAACTAGTCTGCAGTAGTTTAGATCACTTCTTGATTGTGGACATTTTAATTATTGCCCTTCGATTAGGAATAAAATATAACATCACATTAATCAATCCAATCCCTATAAAATCAAATAACCCAATATGTATGTGTAAATAGATCACAGCAGAAGAAAAATCTCAATTTCAACTCTACAAAGCCATGTTTTGTAAAAAACATGACAGAAGGAAAAATGACACATGAAACAGAAAAAAATGTAAGCACTTTGTTAGACACCTATGAACCGCATATATTAAAATTAGTACTGTCTCTGTTAACAATTCTATATGATTCATTTTTTCTAATTAAAAAAAACAATATGTGCTTAGTCTGACAGGAAGCAGTTCAAAAGTTTTGTTAAGATAGACATATATTTCAAATTGTTTTTGTTCAATCTATAGCTTAATATGTATTTTCTAAGACAGTGTATAAAGCTATGAACATTGTTACAGCACATACTAGGTTATGTGCATTTAAAAAATATAAAGTATACAAATGGTACACGGAAATGTTTTTTCACAAAGTTTTCACAACACACATTCTGTTTTAAAAGAGATCAACACATTGATAAAAGTAAATCTTTCTCTTATTGATTCCATTTGCTTTCTCTTAATGATTCCATTTGCCAAAGGATTTTACTGTCACCATTTACATTTGTTTCAAGCCAGATTTCACGATTTCTGCTTATATAAATTGCTATATAAAGACTGTTAACTGAATGAACATGATTTTCTCAGTTTTTAGATTTAAGAGATAGCAAGTTCTTTCGTTTCATCAGGTTAGGAAAAAAACAAGCTTTCCAGAAAATAAAAAATAATAGATTTGTGCTTCATGCTTTTTATCAATAGTTTGATTGTGTACATTTCAATTGATTAGTTGAAATAATTAAACAGTATCTAACCTACATTTTAGTTTGGCTTGTTAGACTAAACATAAAATGTAAAAGTAATTTAATATTGTTTCTGAATCCGTTTCTATACTGTCAAAAGATGACACTTTGCTGTTCTTTGAAGGCTTCACCTGTCTGTAGATAGTTTTATTACCGGTATATTATAGGGAACATGTGTGACAAAAAAGCTAAATGTTGTAAACTAGTCCGCAGGTTAGATTCCTCCTTGATTGTGGACATTTTAATCATTACCCTGCTTACACCGACTGCGATAAGGTTTCACTAGGTTAGGAAAAAAACAAGCTTCCCAGAAAATAAAAAATTACATTGGTGCTTCATGTTTTGTATCAATTTTTGCTTGTGTTCAATTCATAAGGAATGAAAAATTGAAAGAACATGTTCCTGTTAAAGGCTTCCGATGATATCATATTTGTAATTATTATGACAGTTGATTAGTAAGAATAATTATTGTGATTCTTTATCAAAAGCCTTGACCGAAACGTCATTTGGAAACACTGAAAGGTGTGTTTCTAAAATAACAAGTCCAAAAAACTTTTAGGAAAACATTTCTATGAAAAACTTTTTCATGAAATTGCATGAACTTGTCAGATAAAAGGTGAAGAAATCTGCGATTATCTAATTTAAAACCATTTACGTGTTATGATATTGTTGCTGCTTATGTCGGTGTTTCGGACGTGGACAGTAACTTGCATTTACCATGCTGGTGAACTTAATCAAAGCGAGCCTTAAACACCCTTTTTTTTTTACTTTACGTCGATAATTAAGGTTTCAACTTTGTCAATTTTGTTATTAAGTAACACTTATCAAATTTGAATGATTTTGCAGCTTTAAAACTACGTATATATATATATATATATATATATATATATATATATATATATATAAAAATATATATATATATATATATATATATATATATATATAATATATATATATATATATATATATATATCATTTCAGTTTGTATTCCCGTAACCACGAAGCTTCAAATTATCACGAAAAAGAATCTTACAAACAACGCTTAGATGTTATATTAATTCATAGTATGGTGTTTGAACTTTGCTTTCAAACATTGTGAAAATAGGACATTTGTTTCATAATCTCCCAATGAAATAATCAGTACAATATAATGTTTTTTAATAAATGTTATATTAGCCTTGACTGTATTATATGATCTACTTTGTAAAAATGTGATGTAGAATTAAATCTTTTATTTTATGAATTATTTGATGAAGAATTGAATCATTTTCCTTTATGAATTATTTGATGAAGAATTGAATGCCGTTTTTACAATCATCATTGTATTTTGTTTTGTGTATTAAAGGAAACAATGTATTCACAAGAGAACATAATTTCGTCGAATTTCTAATTAGTTATCACAATGGCAATTATCTTACAAGATCTGTTACAAGACTGTTTTCTTAAAATGTGTATTTACAATTATAGACTGAAAGCTGCACTATTTCACCATTTAAAGTCAAATTGACAGTATACTCGTAAACTTGAAACTTGGTATCATCTTTGCAAATAAAAATGTCCAGTATTTGTCTATATTTGTCTCGTAGACGAAGGACAAATTAATTTTTCCCTCTGTAATTAATGAATAATTAATCCCACTAAGAATAATCAAATAAAAAAATGATGGAAATGACAGATGCTACAGTTGGCAATTTTCTACTTGGGTGGTTCCACTATTGCTACTCGAATACTGTATAATCACCCTTAGGATATGTTGCCTGCTTTTTTTATTTGTCTTTTGACTTCTTTTCTGTGATAAGCAGGCTTCATAACCTCAGATCCACTTTCAAATTTCCAATTCCGCCCTTTGTTCTCGTTAGGGCGCACGCATTCTTTTACTTCGGGACCATACGCCGCTTTTCATGGAATGACACTACTATGTCACATTGAAGGTTTCATGATAGACGCCGTATGAAAACATCTGCGGAAGTTTCTTAATTCGCAAATTTGCTTTTTTCGTGTAAAAATGTTGAATTCTGCTTAAGCCGGTGCTAGGGCGCGTGGATGGTAACTTGCACTTTCCAGTACCGTCCATGAACAGGCTCAATCAAACCGAGCCTGCAACATTTTCAATTGTTTCGTGTTGGGCCTTTTTAATAGATTCTGTTTTTCTCTATTTTATAATATCGGCCAGATATCGAGTGTGCGGCTACAAGTAAGACCGATATCGGCTGTATATCATGAGATTGAAATGGAGCCGATGTTATGACGATATCTGTAAACTTATCTTTTTTTTTCATATGAAAAAATTACTTTGGTAAAATTTGTTTGTTTGTTTGTTTCATTTTACGCCTTTTCCCAACAGTATTTCAGTCATATTTCCTAACCATCCTTCCTCCGTGCTAAACTACCAAAGGAAGGTAGTCTAGTACTGGTGTATTTCTCCAGGAACTTTGGTAAAAAGCCATTGCAATTGATAAGCATAAATCAAAGCATAAATATGAAAATTTTATTTTCATTTGGCCAATATACTTATATTTTAGTATCAATACTTTTTACAATCATGGTGCATCGTTTACAGCATTTTCATCACACTAAGGTTGTGTTTTTAAATAAGTCTAGAAATATACTTCTACTTCAATAGGACAATGGAAACAATAACTAGAAATGTAACTATACTTTCTTTAGGGGCGTCCGTGACCTAGTGGTTAAGGTCGTTGACTTCAAACCTCTTGCTCCTCACCACAGGTGCGAATCCCGACAGGGACTTTGATTTCTTTCAGGTGAGGAAGCTATCCAGCTAGCTAACGGAATGTCGGTTGTTTTACTCAGGTACCCGTTTGTGCCTTAAATATTGCACGGAAGGAAACCCGAGGTCTTCCTCCACCGGTAAAGCTGGAACGTCACCATATGACCTATACTGTGTCGGTGTGACGTAAACCCAAATCAATCAATCAAACAATCAAACTTTACTTTCTTAAAACTTTACTTTCTTAAAAGAAGGCACATTTTATATAAACCACAAATAAATACCTGCTAAAGATTGTAAAGTTTTTAACTACTGTATCAATATGTTCCAATATATAGCTTAAAACTTCACAAATGACACATTAAGTTTGCTAAAGATTGTAAAGTTTTTAACTACTGTATCAATATGTTCCAATATATAGCTAAAAACTTAACAAATGACACATTAAGTTTACAGAGAAATCTTATGACTGCAATCAATCTGTATCAGCTGTTTTGTTATTAATGAAAATTATTGTATATATAACATTGATATTGTCCAACAATATTGACCTGGCACTTCATTAATTTTTTTAAAGGTCACTGTATAAACACTTGTATCCAACGAATATACCGATATATTTGTTAACTTCACACATCAATGAGTTGTGGTGTATTGGTGAAGATTCCGGACGACTGTTCATGATCTGAAGGTCTCAGGTTCGATACCTAACCATCACCATGTTATGAAGATACGCATTTTTTTTATTGTATTTTGGAATTTACTAGCAAGAATTAATTTTAAATCGTTTTACTACATCTGGTGTTAAAATACATTTTAAGTAGTGTTTTTATACAGTTATTCTTTTATTTCATTACATTAACTTTTATTAATAAAAAGGACAGCGTGTTTATGATTCATGTACACCTTAAAAATACTACACAATTAAAATATAAAAAAATCAAATAAAAATCAAAACGTTTTGCACTAGTTAGGAGAGAAATGTCAATTTTTAAATTAAAAAAAGAAAGAAATTGAACCAGGATTCGAGCTTACGAGTGTACATCTATATTTTCTCGAAGTGAAAGACTTTACCGACTGCTTTAAGAGGGACCATTTAACAACTACTGATCTACATTCATATCGATTTACAAGTAGATAGTAACGTTTACGGAATTTACCGACTATAGGGTCAAATGCAGGAGTGCCAGGTCAATATTGTTGAACAATATACATTCCGATATGTTATTTTAATTTGATAAATAGTTGTCTAAACATATCTTATCTATTTGACATGTCTTTTTTATGAAATCGAGTGTTGATAATACCAACTCGCATTCAATGTTCTTTTCCCTTGAAATTCATCACGTGTGTTATTAAATATAAACTCCTCCATGCACGTATACGTTAAAGGATTTTCATGCAGATGAAATTTATTTGCAAAAAGTTCTTTACGTGTCGACAGACGACGGAGATCTTTTAAACTGAAGATACATATACTTCTTACCCACTTTCCATAGCATGTAGATCTATTATTGCGGAGGTAATGAATCGAGGATTTCCAGACTTTGAAACGAGCTAGATACGATTTTCTCGTATAACCTGACGGAAAAAAGGAAAGATATGGTTATAAATCAGATGTAATTTGCAAAAATATATACATACAATTAATTACACATAGAACTAATTGATAATTATGTAATATACATGATAAATACTACAACTGTACAGTCTTAATGGAGGATGCTCATAACCGCTGTATATATATTCACACAAGAATCACTCCAGTGTAAAATATGTTCAACAAAATGAACTGAACTTGAAATATTTTTCCCATAAGATATTGTTTATTCCTTTTTCGACGCTAGTGCCACTGGCACCAGAGCTTCAACGTTTGTGTAGACATTTGTTTCTTTACCTTTTTATGTCCTACATGTATTTATAAAGAATGGATCACCTTTTCAATAATTTTGTGTCTATGTCAATAACAGTATCAATGTCAATTAGAATCGAAACAACCATATTTTGGAAATCATACAATTTGTATCGCTAAAGAACCATCTTGAAACGATTCACACTGTATCAGAAACAATGATATCCTAGCTTATACTTCATGAGGGAACGCCAGGGGTCGATACAAAGAACTATTTTAACGTAAATCTTTGTAATTGATGTCAGTAAAATACAATTATCTTTTTGGAAAAAAAGATGGTTTTTTCTCAAAGTAGCACATTGGAGTAGAGAGAATATGTAAGTGTCAAAAGGTGTTTAGGGCAGGAAAATTAAACAAATTCCCTAAAGAAGCAAACTAGACATTTTATGGTCTAACACTTCTCAAGTCCCAAAGGAAACCTTAAAATTATCTTTATTTCTCCTCCCGTGACACATTGAAGTTTGGGTAGTTTTATGTAGGTCGAAAAAGTACTTTTTTATCCAAAATTATTTTTTTCTATCAAAGGTATACGTAGTTCAAACAAATTGTAAATGTTTAGCATCAGTTTAAAGATTTAACCATTTTTTCATTCCATATATATCTCGGTTTGTATATTTACAATTAAATAAAAATATGTGATTGTCATGACACTCCTTGCTTCAATAATCAGAAAAAGAAATATTTTTTTCCATAGGCAATGAATATATTTGGGTAGCTGTGAATTTTGTTGGTAGGTAGCGGCAGGGGTTACAAACAATGTTTTATTTTCAGCCTCATAACCTTTGACTATCATTGTGAAAACCGACTACAAATCCCTTGAATCGTTGTAGAGATATGTTTTGGACTAAAAATGACAAAGGGGTTAAGAATGAAAAATAACAATAAATCAGATAATGACGCACAAATAAATAATACATCTTGATAGTTGTTATACCCCTGCAAAACAAAGTTGTAAGGGGGGTATACTGGAATCAGATTGTCCGTCCGGCCGTCCGGCTGTCCGGCCGTCCGTCGGTTTTTTCTTGTCCGCCCAATAACTAAAGATTCATTTGACCCACAGTCTTCATATTTGGCATGGAGGTTAGTCATGATAAGTAGATGACCCCTATTGATTTTGAGGTCACCAGGTCAAGGGTCAAGGTCACAGGGGCCTTGACTTCAAAAAGCTTGTCCGCCCAATAACTTAAGATTCCTTTGACCCACAGTCTTCATATTTGGCATGGAGGTTAGTCATGATTAGCAGATGACCCCTATTGATTTTGAGGTCACCAGGTCAAAGGTCAAGGTCACAGGGGCCTTGACTTCAAAAAGCTTGTCCGCCCAATAACTTAAGATTCCTTTGACCCACAGTCTTCATATTTGGCATGGAGGTTAGTCACGATTAGTAGATGACTCCTATCGATTTTGAGGTCACCAGGTCAAAGGTCAAGGTCGCAGGGGCCTTGACTTCAAAAAGCTTGTCCGCCCAATAACTTAAGATTCCTTTGACCCAGAGTCTTCATATACTAAACGAAACTTATAAGTACTCCGACCAATTTTTTATTATATTGTGCTAGAATTACTATAACTAGTCTATGTCGATACTGTATAAACTTTAATCATAGTATCATCATTTTAAATTAGTAAATGCATTTTACTATATCTCAAACGTAACAGAAAATCAGTAACTGAGATCACCATTGTAAAAAAAATCAAATACCTTCAAGTTTAGTCAATTTAGTCAATACCTCGTATGTCCTCCGTTTGCTCTGATTACAGCTAGGCGATGCGCCGCCCTGTAATAGCCCAATGGCAATTCCTCTTTGTTGCAGCGACATTCGGGCCATTTTGTGTTTTTATGTTAGGCACATCAATAAACTAACAATTTGCATCAAAATACACAATGTGGGCATCTTGCACGAAATGCACGTGCCCATTTTCGGGTTTTTGCATGTGACCGCCATATTGCGTTTCGGATGATTGATTTTGTTTGAAAATCATTCATGCAGTCGGAAAGTAGAGTCAGTACACATTTTCAACATTGATTTGGTATATATTTTGAAAACCGGAGTATTCCTGCAAGTTTGAAATCGGAGTACTTATAAGTTTCGTTAAGTGTATTTGGCATGGAGGTTAGTCATGATAAGTAGATGACCCCTATTGATTTTGAGGTCACCAGATCAAAGGTCAAGGTCACAGGGGCCTTGACTTCAAAAAGCTTGTCCGCCCAATAACTTAAGATTCCTTTGACCCACAGTCTTCATATTTGGCATGGAGGTTAGTCATGATAAGTAGATGACCCCTATCGATTTTGAGGTCACCAGGTCAAAGGTCAATGTCACAGGGCCTTGACATCAAAAAGCTTTTCCGCCCAATAACTTAAGATTCCTTTGACCCACATTCTTCATATTTGGCATGGAGGTTAGTCGTGATTAGTAGATGACCCCTATCGATTTTGAGGTCACCGGGTCAAAGGTCAAGGTCACTGGGGCCTTGACTTCAAAAAGCTTGTCCGCCCAATAACTTAAGATCCCTATGACCCACAGTCTTCATATTTGGCATGGAGGTTAGTCGTGATTAGTAGATGACTCCTATCGATTTTGAGGTCACCAGGCCAAAGGTCAAGGCCACAGGGTCCTTGACTTCAAAAAGCTTGTCCACCCAATAACTTAAGATTCCTTTGACCCACAGTCTTCATATTTGGCATGGAGGTTAGTCATGATTAGTAGATGACCCCTATTGATTTTGAGGTCACCAGGTCAAAGGTCAAGGTCACAGGGGGTTTGACTTCAAAAAGCTTGTCCGCCCAATAACTTAAGGTTCCTATGACCCACAGTCTTCATATTTGGCATGGAGGTTGGTCATGATTAGTATATGATCTGTATTGATTTTGAGGTCACTGGGTCAAAGGTCAAGGTCACAGGGACCTTGTCAAAATAAAGCTTTTTCCCTCAATTGCTTCAGAATGCCTGTCCAGAGTGTATTGATTTTGACATTTTCACATTTGAAGCATGTAGAATACATAACTTAGCAATGCACTGGCTTAGTAACCTCAGATTTGGCAGGGAGGTTGTCCTTGAGTTCTAAATGGCCACTGTTGATTCTGACAAAGTGGTATGCGGGGGTATTCACGCCATGATAGTGGCAGTTCTAGTTTTGATAAGTTTCTGTCAATGGATGCTTAGGAATATTCTTGCCCAGTACATTTAAAACATAACTCGATGAACAAATAATTCCACCAGAAAAACTACCCATTCTCACATTTCTCGTGGTTGTAAAAGTCATTATTGTTAGGAAATTCTTCGGGAAAAAACTCTAAATGAGGCAAAACTTTGTGGAAGTCAATGAGCCGAACAACCTGCTAAGAAAAAAAGAAGAAAAAGAAATGTTCTTCATTTTTTCGTTCTCTTTAATTTTTGTCGTTTTCATGTGAACATAGTCTCCAACTCGAAATAATGAATAAAATCAGAGAATGAAATCGCTGGGATGCACAGGCTGCAGTATGATAAACACCAACTGATCACTAAGAAGTTCAAGCTTTCTTTCAATGAAATTGTTTTGATTTCAGACAATATCTTGAAGCAAATATGCATATATTCATCAGAAAAGTTGTTGACATTTTCAAAAAGGTGAAAACACTGCATTCTGTATTCATTACACGCAGTTTATTTTGGGACAACTTCAAGAAAAGCTAAAAACGCTCTGTGCATGAGTAGCAAAAGGGTTTATTAAATCTATTTATAACTCTTTTGCCAATTCTATCTTTTTTTAAATAGTCTGTAATTATGGTTGAAAAGATATGTTTTCTAAAATTTAATTAACATTCTTCAAAGTTCTGTTTTCACATTTTTAAATTTCAATGTGTCAAACATGTAGAAATTGAACGCCATCATCAATTTCATCTTCTGATATTTTTTGGATTAATCGGTTTTTGATAAATTCATCAAAGGCATCATCAAATTCATTATCCAGCAAGTATTCTATCAATTTGTCTGATTATCTGAAGCAAGGAGGCGTTGGACACGTTTGTTGACACTGAAGCTGATCCCTCGCCACAGACCTAAAAAATTCAAATAAAATAAATATTTGTGTAATGTAAAAGAAATTGTGGCAACCAGTACACTATTCATTTTTATTTAGTCTGCAAAATTCAATTTATGATTATTTGTCTATGCATGTGTATATTCCCCACAATAGTATAAAGTGGAAATTGAAAATAGTCGAGTAACAGCAAACGTCATTTTTGCACCTTCCCAGCCTTACTTGTGGAGGAAAACCTCAAGTGCACCTTCGTATATTATTTAAGGCACGAACAGTCACATGAGTAGAATCACCGTTCCTCCGTAAGGTAGCTGGATACCTTCTTTACATGAACATTTCCAAAGTCCATGATAGGGCCTGAACTCAGAGCTCTAAGGAGCAAATGTCTTAAAGTAAGCGACCTTAATCACTTTGCTAAGAAGTGCTCAGAATAGATATCGTACCAGTCTCTTATGAGCACATGTTAGTACTATATGAGGACATTTTAAGTTCTTTGTGTCCATAATGTTCGTAAAATATGCACATCTATTAATTATTACATGTACATGCATTCATAAAAGCTAATACCTCATTGACAATCAATGCAGTGACATACCATGCGCATGCGATAAATGAATTATATCCTTTATTAAATTTCAAGTATATCATC